GGGGGGGGGGGTGAGTGTTTAACACAGAGGCACATCACCACTGAGCTACATTTCCATTTTTATTTTTAATTTCAAGACAGGGTCTCACTAAGTTGCTTAGAGCCTCGATAAATTACAGAAACAGGCCTTAAACTTGTGATCCTCCTGCCTCAGCCTCCTGAACCTAACTTTCCTTTATTTAAATCCTATTCCTTCCTCTATGTCCCCTCAAACAACCTTAAATAAAGTATAAATAAGAAAAAAAAATCAACCAGGTATGGTGGCATACACTTGTAATCCTAGAAACTCAGAAGGCTCGAGAAGGAGGATCTCAAATTTGAGGCTAGCCTCAGCAACTTAGTAAGACCCTGTCTCGAAATTTAAAAAAAGGGGGGGTGGCCAGGGATGTATTCCAGTGGGAAAGTGTCCTGGGATTCAATCCTCAGTCCCAATAAATAAATAAGAATAAGAAACATCAGGGCTGGGGTTGTAGCACAGTGGTAGATCACTTGCCTAGCACGTATGAGGCATGGGGTTCCATCCTCAGCACCACATAAAAATAAATGAGGATAGTATGTCCATCTAAAAATAATAAAAAGAAACATCAACTTGAAAAAGTAAAACTATAATTAAGTCTCATTAGGGGCTACTTTGTGATTCAAAAGCTTATACCTGTAAGGGAGTTTTCATTCATTATCAGTGAGCCTAGGAAATTCAATTGCAAAAGAAAGGAAGAAAAATATATCCCAGAGGAAAGTGCCAATTATTACAAGCCACTATTTTTCCAAAACAAATTAAAGGAATCAAGAAGTTAGACAACAGTTAAGAACCCACCCCCACTTTCTTTGTGGGTGATAAAAAAAAAAAGTCATCAATCCCTTTGGGAATAGACATACAGCAAACTGAAAGAAAACTGCAAAGAAATGAAAAGGAATCTGTGGATTTAAGGAACTCCTATTCTGGGCTGGGGATGTGGCTCAAGCGGTATCTCGCTCGCCTGGCATGCGTGCGGCCCGGGTTCGATCCTCAGCAGCACCACATACCAACAAAGATGTTGTGTCCGCCAAGAACTAAAAAAAATAAATATTAAAAATTCTCTCTATCTCTCTCTCCCTTCTCACTCTCTCTTTAAAAAAAAAAAAAAAAAAAAAAAGATTTTAAAAAAAAAAAAAAAAAAGGAACTCCTATTCTAAGCTGTGTTTTCCTCACAAATTAGCTACAACTGACTTAAAATACAGTCTTAAAATGAAATATAATATGTATCAACCCATCTATAAATAAAGTATTCTCTAATAATAAAAAGTACACATCATGCCCCACTAAAAATAGAAACTTTCACTGAATGCTAAAAAATATCCCCAAAAAACCCTTTTAGTTGGAATCTACATAAAGAACAATTATACTTTGCTTTCTAACCACATGATTTTTAAAAGAACAAAGAACAAAAATAAGTTCAACAAATATAATGAACAAAATATATATTCCAGACTTTTCCATGTGACTGCCTTTTCTTAGAGCACATTTAGAACTAGTGTTTCACAGAGAACACTTTGGGAAATACTATTTTAATTTATTAACAAATACTGGAGGGCTGGGAAGAGGCATAAAACTTAAAAATAAAACTACTGATGCATGCAAAAAAGGGAGTAAGGGGATGAAACTCAAAAACATTATGCAGAGAGAAAGAAGCCAGACACAAAAAAAACCATGACTGGATGATTCCATTTACACCAAGTTCTAGAACAAGGAAAACTAATCAATGCAGAGAAAGATCAGACCAGTGGTTGCCTCTGGGCAGCAGAGTTAGATATGAATTAGGAAGGCAAACAAGGGAACTTTCTTTTTTTTCTTTCTTTTTTTTTTTTTTTTTTTTTTTGAGAGAGAGAGAGAGAATTTTTTAATTTATTTTTTAGTTTTCAGTGGATACAACTTCTTTATTTTTTATTTTTATGTGGTGCTGAGGATCGAACCCAGTGCCCCACACAAGCCAGGCGAGCACGCTACTGCTTGAGCCACATCCCCAGCCCAACAAGGGAACTTTCTAAGCAGGAATAGTGTTGATAAAGGTTTAGGTCACAAGGTATCTTTGCCAACACTTGTAAACTTAAAAATACACTCATTTCAGCCAGGTATGGTGGTACATACCTGTAGTCCCAGCTAATCAGGATACAGGTGGGAGAATCATAGGAATTTGAGACCAGCCTGGGAAACACAGGGAGATCTAATCTCACTATATATGTATGCACTTCATTATGCATAGATTTTATGTGGAAGACAAAAAAACTAAAACCCTACTCAAGTTGATGTGCATGAAGTATCTAAGGAAGCCAGGCAAGACACATCAATGGATAGACAAGGCTGTAAGGCCAGGAGCACTGTGATAAACATGTGGAGCCAAACAGTGGTCACAGGATCTGGGGTATGGATGTGTAGCCAATCTCTACATGCATTTTTAAGTTATTCTGTGTGTAAATAGAAATTTTCAAACAAACAAATTTCAGAAGAAACTGAGCTAACTTTGCCAGGTGTTACAAGTGAAAAATATGACAATACTTTTTCCATGTATTTTTTCTTTTCTTTTTTATTTATTTTTTTCTGTGTTATTGGGGATTGAACCCAGAGTCTCACACAAGCTAGGCAAGTACTCTAACACTGAGCTACATCCCCAGCTCTTTTGTTTTTGTTTTTTGGTTTTTGTTTTTCATTTTGTCTTTTGAGATAAGTTCTCAATAAGTTGTCAAGGCTGACCATGAACTTGCAATTCTCCTGCCTTAACCTTCTAAGTAGTTGGGATTACAAGGATCACATCCAACTTATATCCTATATTTTCTTTTTTTTATAGTTTTAGATGAACAGCATGCCTTTATTTTATTTATTTTTCTACGTGGTGCTGAGGATCGAACCTAGTGCCTCATACATGCTAAGTAAGAACTCTGCCACTCAGCTACAGCCCCAGCCCACTTTTTGTATTTTCAAATAGACACTATCCTAATTCATTCTATGACAAGAAAAGGAAGTACTTCCTAAAGTAGCAGCTTTATCCGTCTTGATGACTTTCAAGTAGTAGAGCCAACAAATTTAGCGTTCAATCTTACAGTGATAATTTAATGTTAGCCAAGGAAAGATCTATTTTGGAACTTTGAAAGAGAAAATATTAACAATTTCTTATAAGCTGCAAACTAGACACAGGAAGACACCACTACAAATACAGGGAGGTGGTTTTACACTGACAGGTACAGTAGCAGATATCTATAATGCAGCTACTCTGGAGGGTAAGGCAGGAAGATCACAAATTCAAGGCCAGCCGGAGAACTCAACAAGACACTGTCTCAAAGTAAAGTTTAAAAAGGGATGGGGATGTAAGTCAATGATAGAGTGCTTGCCTATCACACATGAGAAAAAAAAGAATGCCTTCAAGTCATATAAACAACGAAATCCAAGCAGCTTAAAATATTAACTAATATCTTAGACATCAATCACCAAGTGAAAAACAAAACTTACAAGAGGTATGACCAAATGTTTGTGCCTATGTTACAAAAGTTCCACAAAATGCAATTTATGGTGGTTTTTACAAAATAAAAAAGGAGCTTACCTTTTCTAGGAGGGAGCTCTCCATTCTGTGTTAATTCCGTTCCAGTATAAACAATTTCCCCATCTTTAACCATTTCATTCCATAGGCCACAGAGCCCATCTCTTGAGAATGCAAGCTGGCAATGATGAACAAGAAAACTTTACAGTTTGCTCACACTCACACTGTACTTCTCAAAGAATTATATGAGGAGAAATCTCATTTCCTCTTATTATATTCAATTAGTCAGTAATAAATCAATAATTTATTTATTCAATAATTCACTCAAAAATAAATAACATTTAATGAAAATCATCCAACAAAGAGAGTGAGGTTAAAAAAAAAATCAAGTCACAAAGCGGTGTATTTACTATGCTAACTTTTGTGTAAGATACAAGAATTTACTATGCTAACTTTTGTGTAAGATACAAAGCAGGAAGATCACAAGTTCCAGCCCAGCCATTGTCTCATGCTCTGAAAAGGTGAACCAAAAACAAGTTACAGTGATTACCTATGGGAAAACATTGAGGTGACATGGAGGAAGGCAGAAGAAACCAATGAAAGCAAGACTGTGAATAGACCTTAAGTAGTTTACTTTTGAAGCACACAATGTTTCCATCTTCAAAAATTAAAATTAAATCATAAAAAAGCAAAACTTACAAATGGTAACAAGCAAATTAACCTGTTAAATATCAGAAAGAAAAGTATTTCAAGGGACTTTTGAATTATAAATCATTCATACAGTATATTCTAAGGTAGGGAAAAAGCCCCCCTTCATTCACTGGTCTTACTGGTAATCATAACATTGATATACAACTTTAAAACTACCATTATATGTATGTTTTATGATAAAACACATTTATAATAAAGTTGATTAATATTACCAGAAACTAAGGTTTTAATTAGAAAAGAGATCAAATCCAAGAAGTTTTTTAAAACAATTTGGATTAGGAATCCCAGTATGTTTTTGTTATGTTTTGTTTTTGCATTTTTTGGTATTAGGGACTGAATACAGGGGCACTTAAGTCACAACACTGAGTCAAATCCATAGCCCTTTTTGTTTTTTATTTTGAGACAAGGTCCCTAAGTTGCTGAGGCTGGTCTCCAACTTGTGATCCTCTTGCTTCAGCTTTCCAAGCTGCAGGGATTACAGGCATGGGCAACCACACCCAGCTTTATTTAATATTATTTGCTTGTTCTGTCTTTGGACCTAGAATCAGAGGCATTCTAACAGATATGAATAAAATCAGAACCCAGATATTGTTCTTTAAGCACCATCTGACACCAAAAGAGAAAAGATTGACTCAAGGGCCTTAGCAGACAACATAAGCCTGGGGCAGGCAATGAGGCTGAAGCAGGAAGATCACAAGTTCCAGCCCAGCCATTGTCTCAACATAAAAAATAAAGAAGAGCTGGGAGTATGCCTCAGTGGTGGAATAACCCTGGGGTTCAATCCCAGTAATACATTAAAAAAAAAAAAAAAAAAAAAGACTAACAGGACTTCTGGCCAAATTTAGAACAATTTTGAGCATCCAAATACACACCAAATATAATGCACAAAAATGAATTATACTACATAAGTTCATAGTGATATTCAAAGAAAAAACTAAAAACAAAAATAGCCTAGTTCATCAACATGTATGAATCAGAAAAGGCTTCCCAGAGCACGCAACCAGCACAAAGTAGGGAAAGAAACTTTTGGAACACCAAGAAAAGGTAACCCTTCTAAAGAAAACTGTAGGTGCAACTGAAGACATCTTCTATAACACATACAACATTTTAAATTGTGTCATCTGTTTACTCTTTCTTTCTTTCTTCTTCTTTTTTTTTTTTTTTTTTTTTTTGCAGTGCTGGAGATGGAACTGGAGCCTCACAAATGCCAAGCAAGTGCTCTTCAACTGAGCTATATATACCCTAACTAAGCCAGGCCTTTTCTTATGTACAAGTCTCCTAGCTAGTTCCCTGCCATTATTGTGGTGGATACTACCCTCCTGAAGCACCTACTATCTCCAGTTGCAGTTTCTTTTAAATGAAGCAAGGACTGAAGGACATTTTGCATACAATCTCAGTGCAGAAGTCTTCTAGAATTTTAAAGACTTTTTCTCCAATCCTTTACAGTTCTTTCCCACCTAATCTGTGTAAATCTTGTATTGTTTTAAGACAGTCTTGTTATGTTGCAAAGGCTGGCATGGAATACCTAACCTCTTGCCTCAGGCTCCCAGTATCTGAGATTACAGGCACTAACCACTGCACCAGGCTGTGCAAGTATCTTTGGCATTCCAATTTTATCCAAATTATCTATGGTAACCAAAAATGGCCCCCAAGATTCTAATCCCCCGGGGTATACACCCACCATCTATAACCCTTTTCCCCAAGTGTGTGTGAGGCCTCTAAATAGAATGGGATATAATACTTGTGACTACATGTTGTTCATTCTATGACAAAGGTGAGAGGATTCTGCATATGTAAATAAGGTTCCAATCAGACTACTTTCTAGTTAATCAAAAGTAAGATTATCCTGGGGCTATCCTTAAGACCCTGGAAAAAGCAAGTTGTGGGCTTGGACTGCCTATGGAGAGGGGAAGCCTCTAAGAGCCCAGAGCTTTAGTCCCATAAATTCAAAGAATCCAATTCTTCCAACCAGGACCCTGAGCCCCAGATAAGGGTGCAGCCCAGCTGACACCTTGGCTTCCGTCTAGTGACATCCAAAGCAGAGGACCAAGCTAAGCCATAGCCAGACTCCTGATCCATGAAAACTATCAGACTGTAAGTGTGCATTATTGTCAGTTGCTATATTTGTGGTTAGGGACTCGTTACATAGCAATGGAAAAACAGTTTGACATTCAGTTTAGTTTCTGTAGAAGCAACAACTTTCTCTCAGCATTCCTATTTTATCTGTTCACATCACTAACAAAATAACTTGGAACAAAACATATGACTCTTGAAAAAAGTATCAACAGGAAGGAGGAGAGGCAAATTCTTTTTAAAATGTGAACCATGGGCATTCAAGGCCTCTGAGGTTTAATTAGGGAATGGAATGCTAACAGCAGAGTAGCTAAGTGCTGCCACTCTAGTCTAGTTCCCACCATGGTGCACACAGGGGCCAAATCTCATAGCTCATATGCACCATGCTCCAGGAGTTACACACTACTATCTTCAGACACTCAAAGGAATCCATGACCTACTCCTTAACTAATAATGCAATGGAGACAAAAGAGGAAGAAATTAGAAACAAAGAAAATGAACTAGGAAACCACTACCAAGAGTCAAATGAGAAATGATGAGAACCTAAGCCAAGACAAAGAAAGTATTTACAATTATTTCAAATCAAGTGCATCAAATCAGATATGAAAAGGCAAGGAACAGAATACAAATGAGAATTAGTTCAGTTTTAACCACTACAATTTGCACTAATGTTATGATTTGATTAAGTATCCCCTCAAAACTCCATGTGTTAAAAGTTTGGTCCCCAGAGTGATACTATTTGGAAGAATGAAACTTTTAGGAGGTTGGAACTAGTGGGAGGTCGTTAAGTCATTGGAGATGGCCCTCAAAAGGTATTGTGGGACCCCAGTCTCTTTGTCTTCCCTTTTGCTTCCTAGATGATGAAGACGAGTGGTTTTGCTCCATCACATACTCTTAGCATGTACTGCCTCACCACAGATCCAAAAAATCAGAGCCAATCAATCATGACTGGAACTTAAATAATAGTAAGCCAAGATAAACCTATTCTTTTTTTTATATTTTTAGTTGTAGATGGACACAATATCTTTATTTTATTTATTTATTTTTTTAATGTGGTGCTGAGATCGAACCCAGTGCCTCACAGGTGCTAGGCAAGCACTCTACAACTGAGCTACAGCTACAGCCCAGAAACCTATGCTTTGTAAGATACAACTAACATAGTTAGTTAAACATGGAGTATGTAAATATAAATAAACATGGAGTATGTAAATATAAATCCAGTTCTTAGCAGAGTGTTCAGAGTTATACACTCAAATCTAGAAGTCAGAGCAGACAGTTTATAGATGGAGGCCTGAAGGAGATGCCAATACTCCAGGAAAAACAGTGGACTACCATTCTCAGCCTCAACTACACTCTGGGACTGCCCCATACTAGCTGGGCTCTACATATCAGTGTTCTGAGATGTAATCTAGGTTAAGAGACAAAGATGTTTAAAAGAGCCATTTAAACTGGGGGGAGGGGGGACGCGGAGCCAAAACATTTAAAAACTAAGCCAAGGAGGAAGCCCAGTTTACAAAGAAACAAGAAGTATTGCTACAGCCCATTCTTTCATTACCTGGATAGTGTCAGCAGGGAAGAAGGAAGAGCAAAAGCTGTGTGAGCAACAAGGGATCCTTTTTTGGAAGGTAGAAACTAAACATCTGGAAGGACACATACAATAGTGACCTCCTAGGAACTAATGACCCCAAAATGGAAAGGAGGTAAGAATCAAGTATGTGCCAATTCAAGTCCAACAGTTAGGATATCATGCTATGCATCAGATATAGTCCTAAGAAGGACACTATCTTAATACGAATAAATTAGCCCAAATAAAGGCTGTGTGGATCAGCCCTAATAAACCTTAGGATCAATGCTTTTCTTTGTTGTGTTGTTGTTGTTGTTTTTAAAATCAAGCTTTGAAAAGATCAAATTGATCTCAAGTAACACACATGCATGCCAGAACAAAAACAAAGCCACCGCTAGAGCACCCTGGGTTCAATCCCCAGTGCCCCCCCCAAAAAAAGTCTAGCATTCAATCAAATATTAGCAGGCACACAACCACATCCCATAATGAGAGAAACTGATCAATAGAAATGATAGGATCAATCAGCAACAGAAATTGGGCATGGTGGTACACACTTATAATTCCAACTACTCAGGAGGCTTGAAGCAGGAGGATTGTAAATTCAAGCTCAACTGAGCAAATTAGCAAGATCTTATCTCAAAATTTTAAAAATACAAAAAGGGCTGGGGGCGCGTAACTCAGTGATACAGCACTTGCCTAGCGTGCACAAAATGCTGGGTTCAATCCCTGGTACCACAAAAAAATGTAAAATTAAGAAAACACAGCAGAAATAAATCCAGAGGTGATAGAATTAACATTTAATGTTCTTACAGTGAAGTGGGACATTAAAA